CTGGAAAAACCCTTTTATAAAGTATCGGTAAAATAAAGACACCTGCACTAAAGCAAAAAAAAAAAAATCAAGTTGCCATGATTCTACTTTCTGTATGTATAGATTTGCCTTTTCAGACATTTCATGTAAATTAAATCATAAAATCCTGTCAATTTTTTTCACTTAGTATATTTTTTCAAGGTTCATATGTATTTCAGCATATCATTCCTTTGTATTGCAGAATGATATTCCATAGTATGAATATATTAATTTATTCAGCAGGTGATGAACATTTGGGTTGTTTCCACTTTGTGGATATTATGAGTAACGCTGCTGTGAAAATCCATGTATATCCTTTTCTGCAGATATATATATATATATATTTGTTATTATATAATATATAAAATAGATAATAAATTATATATGTGTGTGTGTATATATATATACCCTATTATTATCCTTCGGAGAAGGAAGAAAAGCCAGACCAATCTAAGTACTCATTAACATTTTGTTTCCTTTGTGGGTGACTGCTGCTCAATTCCACCAAATCCTTCTGAGGTCCGTCAGGTATGAGTCTCAGAACGGTCTGCTCAGTAGATGAAAAGACATCAGCTCACGTCTTCTGTGGGCCAAAGGTGTTCCTAGAGAGATTAGCATCCCTTATTTCTGAGTTGCACAAGTCTGAATTCAGAGCAGATTCCCTCAGGTGTCCCATATTGTGGTATCAGAGAAGCTTCAGGGCAGGAAGCAGGAGGCATGTGGCATGGTCTTGTGGCAAGGTGCTGTCCAACTGGAACTAGGCAAAGCTTGTCACAGCTTCCACTGAAATAAATACAGTAGACGTGGCTGGAGTAAAAGATGGGGCAAGAGGATTTTTGAATTGATGCCTGTATTAATTTGCTGGTGCTGCCTTAACAAAATACCAGGCTGGGAGACTTAAACAAAGGAAATTAATTTTCTCCCAGTCCTGGAGGCTGGATGTTCAAGATCAAGATGCCAGCAGGCTTGGTTTCCTCTCAGATCTGTCTCCTTGGATTGAGGATGGCCACCCTCTTGCTGCCTCTTCACATGGACCTCTTTGCAGGTGTGCCCTGGTTTCTGTGTTTCCAGTTTCTTCTTCTTATTATGCTACCAGTGAGATTGAATTAGGTCCACCCTAATGACCTCACTTTAAATTAATTACCTCTTTTAAGGCACTTTCTGTCTTTAAAGGCACATTCTGAGACACCGAGGATTAGACATCAACATATGAATTCTGAGTGAACAATTCAGTCCATAACAGTACCTGAGATGTGTGTCATACACCCTCTGTAACTATTCCATTTTATTAATCGTACAGGAAGCATGTTGAAAGAGAGGAAAAAGAGGGACCTGATGCTTGACCATAGTTTTATTTCTTCTTAAATTCCAGTATTTACACTATTACATCTGGAATGTTTCCTTAAAGAGAAAAATTACCTATAATTTACATATTCTTTAAAGTTATATGGCAAACAAGACATGCTGAAATTAACAGATTACAGGCAGTAACATGGGAGAATTCATTATATAAATTTATGATATTTACAAATGTTCAATTTGTGTAGGTGATGTTTAGTATCTGGCAAACACTAGAAAGAAAGAGGAAAAATTGAAACATGTCTGTGCTCCAAGTTTATTTTTTTTCTATTTTTTCTACTTATTTTTTCCCAGAAGCTGGAACTAGTTTATTTCTAATTCTAGTAATAGCAATGGTGTGATTGACTGACTTGTGCCCTTAAATATTTATTATTACCTTCTAGGTACTGGTATGAAGTTTGGCCAAAAATAAAAGCCCAAATTTCATAGCGGGTACATTCTACTGGGAGAAAGAATCTATTCTTATTTTAATATATAAGTAAATGGTAAAACTAGACTTCGTGATAAATACCAACATAAAAGTAAAGACTAATTAGGAAAACTATTTTAACAGACTGTTGTTATTACTTAACCATTTAGGATAATTCCACCTGTGGATCTGTTCACATCATCTATGGTGTTACTCTCTCTGATGTAACATGTTTGGAGAAGGAAGGAAAGAAGAAAAGATGTGAGTTTGACCTTGGAAAGGTTTGGTTTGATGTCCCTGTGAAACACCCCACTAATAACTTGCACTTGGCAGTGGCATATGTTGGTCCAGTGTTCTCTCTTAATGGCAGTAGTGCTAGAAAGAACTGCGGTTTTATAGAGGAGGAGGTCAGAAAGACAAGATTATGCTCGGCTGAGCCTTACTCACGACGCTTCAGTTCTCAGTGTGGCTCTCACTTCCTAAGAAAAGGTCCTCCCAACTCCTGACCCCCATACATCAGGAGCAAGCTCTCATGAGACACAGTCCATGTTGTTGCAAATCACAATCCAAACAGCCAACCAGGTGGAAAGTAGGGAATCTTGTGCTGTGTTGCCCACTTAGCTCTTCAGTTAAAGGCTTATTTTTCAGGTGCAGGAAGTACAGCCATGTGACAGCCCTGAGCCTTCAGCCCTGAGAACTGCCCTCAGCTAAAGGAACCAGCCTCACCCAATGTCACACCACTCTGATCTCTAGCTGTGGGAGCCTAAGTGACTAACAGCCATCACTGTGTATCCACCACTGTGTTTGCCCTCAGGTTGCTCCTGTTCCGTGCTGCTGACTGAGCGCAGCATGGGACCAGTGTGTGCCCACTCCCACGGGCACACGGTGACACTGCTCACCAAGTATGCAGGATGATTCCTATTCTTGGCACAAAGATCCTGAAATGTCAGGCAGTAGCACAGCTAGAAGCTCCGTGGGGCTTTGGCCGTGTCTCTGGAACTGTTGTCTCTTTAGCTGTCAAGACCTCCAAACCTGCAGAGGCCAGAAATGTGGAGACCTGGAGCACAAACTCCCACATGGCTTACTGGGCATGACTTACACAGGATCACTTCTACTTCCAATCCTGGGACCACATCCTACAAATTGGAGATACAGCACACTGTGACTGTCATTGGCTGAGAGGGTATAATGCCTCTTGCGAGTTGTATACCCAGAAATTCCTGTGTATTCAAATGCCTGCACTAAATATTATCATCCTCTTTGAAATTAAATGTGTTCTCATACCTTCCATAAAATTGTGGGTCTAACTCTCTCATATTTGAACTCCCTGAAGGCTGTATCTTACCTCTGGCTTCCCCTACCCTGACAAATTTTACAGGTGATTTACATTTGCCACATGTATTTTCTCAATACTCCATCTTCAATTCAGTCTACCTGGATTATTGCGGCCCTTGCCCCCCATTTAGAGGTAAGACATGGAGCCCTCCCTAATATCAGCAAAGGCTCCCATGTTTTGGTTCACACAGAAACTAATCATTCCTTCGAGTGACAATCATTCTTGTCACTTTTGAGTCAAACCAAAGATAGAAGAATTTCTCTTGGGAGAATATAACTTCTTCCCCCACTGTTGCCTACACATACGCAACTCTGGCTGAAAATTTTCCACTCTCTTATCTTTGTATCTCAAGGGAGCTGAGTTGTTTGGAGAGAGGAAAGTTACTAGAACCATTTATTTAATGAGGAGCCCTGAGAATTCAACCCTTGCAATGATAATAACATGTCCCTGTTGCCCATTTCCTATAATTTTCTTACCCCAGCCTCGGTGCAAACCCAAATGGGCTTCTCCAGGACACAGTGCAGAGAAGAGAGAGATTCAGTGATAACTACTGGAGACTGTGTCCCAGGAAAGGCTCGTGGAGTAGGAAGAAAAAGAAAGTGGGTACTGGGCTCTACCTCTAGAACAGTGAGACTAGAATAGCCCAGTATTTATTTAGTCCATGATGGTGAAGTCTGTATAGTCTGCAAGTACTTTCATTTCTACTGAAACCAGTCCCGTTTCTCTTTTTGGAATCTAAAGCCTCTCTCCAGTAAGAGTTATTTCCCAAAGAGTCTCCACCTCTTCTCTAAACTTTCCCATAATTGTAGGCTCCTCTTAAGATTTCCACTGTGCAATCATTTATTTATCAACTACTCACTGGAGATTTGCTATGCATAAGGTATTCTTATTCTCTATTTTGTTCCTCATGTGATAGGATTTTTCTTTTTTATTCTCTTTTTTTTTGAGGGGGATGTAGTTGGGTTTATTTATTTTTGGAGGAGGTACTGGGGATTGAACCGAGGACCTTGTGAATGCTAAGCATGGCTCTACCACTTGAGCTATGCCCTCCCCTTGACTGGATTTTTCTATTCGATTCCCTAACTACTTTTTGTTGGCAGATTCACCTTACTAATAGGACCTAATATCTCTATACTGAAGTTGCTGTTTCATCTTATCCACCGTATTGTATCTACAATATCATCTACAATGTAATTATTTATTTATTTTCTTGAATTTTTTTAAAAATTGAAGTAGTCAGTTACAATGTGTCAATTTCTGGTGTACAGCACACTGTCCCAGCCATGCATATATATACATATATTCATCTTTACATTCTTTTTCATTAAAGGTTATTACAAAATGTTGAATATAGTTCCCTGTGCTATACGGAAGAAATTTGTTTTCAAACAATGTAATTATTTTTGACGTTTGGTACCCAGGCTAAAATCATTTTCTCATTTTAGCATTCTCTTTCAGTGTTTCAGAGAATATGGAGTGACTGAAGTTGGAGTAGACAGTCTTGTCCTGTTCATGAAGTTAATGCAAATATTTTAGTGTTTTCATGCAGAATATCCTTTGGTTGCAGTTTTAAAATACCTAACCTTCACTGGGTTAAGAAATTGTCTTTATTTTCTTTATTTAGCAAGAGGCTCTCTCCTGGCTGCTCACCAGTGATGACTTACATTTTCTCAAATGAATTTTTGAGTGTGATTATGGTTATGATTACTCTTCATTTACCTATTTTTGAGATGAATTATGTTAGCAAACATCCTAGATTTAACCAGATAAGAGTTTTATTCCCAGAGCAGGAATTACTTATTCACGATTTATTATTCTTTTTACTTCTTTGGGGGGGAGGTGATTGGGTTTATTTTTTTTATTATTATTATTTTTTAATGGAGATACTGGAGATTGAACCCAGGACCTCGTGCATATTAGGCACACACTCTACCACTGAGCTATACCCTCTCCCTTATTATTCTTTTTAAATATATATGAATGCATTTTATTTCATTTTACTATTCTATTTTTCGTCTATATTCAGGCATGTGATGAACTTAGTAATAATAATAGCTATCATTTATTCAGATCCTATTGTACACAAAGGCATTTTTAACCCTCATGAAGAAGGTAATAGCAGTAACCACATTTTTAGAAATTAAAAGATAATAATAAAGTACTTAAGGCATCTGAGAGTTAACTATCACAATAGGAAGCATCAGGTCATAGAATTAAGTTTCTCTGAGTTGAGAATCCATATATTCATAACAATTAATGGGCTATTGGCATGAAGAAAGAATGGAGGTCATAAAGAAAAGTTTCTAAATATCTTCAACCATTTTGCAAAGGTCATATTATAGACGAAACTGGTTTATGTCCATAGCTTCAAACAGAATTAGAACCAGTGAAAGAGGGGAGGGTATAGCTCAGTGGTAGAGTGCATGCCTAACGTGCATGAGGTCCTGGGTTCAATCCCCAGTGCCTCCATTAAAAAAATAGATAAATAAGTAAACCTAATTACCTCCCTCTCCCTCCCCTGGAAAAAAAAGAAAGCTGAAGTGGCTGTGAGAATTGGGACCTTATTGGTGACCCCTTACTGGTGGCCCAGAAGAAAAATAATTTTTAAGAAGATTTTTTAAAAAGATAAAAAAAGAATTAGAACCAGTGAGTAGATTTATTTTTTTTCTTCTAAATTTAAAAGTGGCTATTTAGTGGCTAATTAGATTTAAAATGAAAATGGTCTACAATCTGACTGAGTGAATCCTTGGCATTGGAAGGACATCAGCCTAAAGGTGGAATCATAAAGGTGATGACTAGCTGAGATGCTAGTTGGCTGTTCACTGAATAATGCTTTTGCCTCCTGCCCCAGCAGACACACCAGCTACATGGAAGCAGGAAACCACACAGAAGAATCACAATTTCTCCTCCTGGCCTCTCAGAGCATCCTGACCTGCAGCCCCTCCTCTTTGGTCTGTTCCTGACCATGTACCTAGTCACCGTGCTCGGGAACCTGCTCATCATCCTGGCCGCTAGCTCTGACCCCCACCTCCACACCCCCATGTACTTCTTCCTCTCCAACCTGTCCTTTGTTGACATCTGTTTCGTCTCCACCACCATCCCGAAGGGGCTAGTGAACCTCCAAGCCCAGAGCAAAGACATCTCTTACACAGGATGCCTCACTCAGGTTTATTTCTTTATGATTTTTGCTGTAATGGATGGTTTCCTCCTGACTGTGATGGCCTATGACCGCTTTGTGGCCATCTGCCACCCCCTGCACTACATGGTCATCATGAGCCCACGCCTCTGTGGTCTCCTGGTTCTAATGTCTTGGTTCATCATTTTCTTGGTGGCCCTGGTTCACATTCTACTGTTGAGGCGGCTGACCTTCTGTATTGGCACTAAAATTCCACATTTCTTCTGCGAACTGGCTCAGATGATCATGGTGGCCTGCTCTGACACCCTAGTCAATAAGATCTTCTTGTTTGTGGCAACTGCCCTGCTGGGTGTGTTTCCCCTCACTGGGATCCTCTTCTCTTATTCTCGAATTGCCTTGTCTTTGATGAGAATGTCCTCGGCAGGGGGGAAATATAAAGCATTTTCCACCTGTGGGTCTCACCTCTCTGCGGTCTCCTTGTACTATGGGACAAGCCTGGGGGTCTATCTCAGTTCTCATGTGACCTATTCTCCCCAGAGTTCAGCTGCCTCCGTGATGTACACTGTGGTCACCCCCATGCTGAACCCCTTCATCTACAGCCTGAGGAACAAGGACGTGAAGGGGGCCCTGGGGAGGCTGCTCGGTCGAGGAGCCCCTTGTCTGTGATGGGCCCCGGGCCTCAGAACTAAGTGGACATTGTGAGGCTGCAAAGACAACGGCTGTGAACTTGAATATCCTGCTTCTTCTCCACTAAGACATGCTGCATTTCTTCTATACTCAACATACTTGTGACTTTTATTTGTTTTTGCATTAGTTTCTCCTCAAGTAACCTCCTCAGTGAGCCCTTTGTAACTTTTCATTCCTATTCGCAGCCCATACATTTCTGTCTTGGGCCAGTTTTCTTATAGCCAATCCGGCGATTTCCCACATTAGATTTGGAGAACTTACAGCACATGTGGCATGGTTTCCTCCAAACTATCCTTTCCAATGTTGATATTCTTCACCATAATTTTGTTGTGTGTTTGCTTTTCCCTGGAAGAAATGGAGTGAAAATCGCACAATAATCATAAGACAAGTGCTTCAAGTATCAAAGCCGTTCTTCTGGGTTTATGTGTATGTTTTATGTTATCTTGACAACATTTCTTAAAGACAGTTTCTCTCAGGTACCCCATTTTTCAAAGAGATTGAGATTGGGATGGATTCTAACCTGGAAACCTGACACTGAGCCCACATTCCTAACTTTGCTATGAAACTTTTCCTGAAAACAGTGACCTGATTTTCAACTGCAAGAGTAGGAGTCTTAGATTTGAAAGCTGCTTCATTCAGGTAATTCGTAGTAATACATTGCATAGGATAACTCTGAGATACTGCTTCATTCTTTGCCTTCCTTCCTTCTTTCCTTTCTTCCTTCACTACCTTCTTTCACTGGACCTTCATTTCCCATCATTGCAGTTTTAAGATACATTCTAAGATCCCAAAACATGTAATAGTGAATACAATAGAAAAAAAGCTTTTCTCCCATGGTTTAATTTGTGGGGAGAGCACCCTATGGAGGTGCCAGTCGGAATGGCAGTTACACACTTGTGGGATGTGTTCAGAACTTAGCGCACGTTTTGATGAGAATATTGATAGAACTGAGACTGCAGGGAAGGACGGAGCAGCAGAAGCGGTCACCATTTCTCCTGCACTCCCTGGGATCCTTTCACTCTCTCCATCGCGTACCAGCCTGACCGCCACTGTCGGCACCACATGGAACCTACTTTTCCCAGTGCATGATGGCACAAGTGACAAAGCATTGTGCTCCACCAGGGACAATTCTTGATGAAGAGGTGGGGGTATACCACGTTCTTCATCCCTTAGCTAGGATAACCCCGAAGTTTGGATTTTGTGCCATCTTCCAGAATTTCCCTAGAGGATGAGAACCCTGCTCACTCGCTGGGGGAGCTGACTTAAGGTTAGAGTGATGGATGTACTGTCCTCCCTGTATCGCTTCTCTCTCTCTAACCCATGTTCCGTGGGTTCCCTTTGCTCCTTTGCTTGTATGTGAATCCTTGGCTCGGCATCTGCCTCTGGTGAACCAAAGCTAAGATGGGTGTGTTCTCCAGCATCACATCTCTGTACAGGTTTCTCTAAAAGGGGTCCAGTAGAGTCCACTCCTCTTGGGTGAAGTCCATGGCCACATCAGCAAAGGTCACTGAATCCTAAGCCATCACACACACACTAGCTTCAGTAAATTAAAAACTCCACCAATGTTCACTGGCGAATGAAGACGGGAGACCCAATGGCAAGAGAGGGATTCAGGGTCTCTCATCATCTCCCCTGGGATGCACTGGTCCTGGGTTCCCTTCTCTTTCTCCACACTCACTTGTGATTGGTATCCGCCAACTATGGCTTTAATGGAGCATGTAACACATGAACTTACCTCAATACAATGAGCCTAAAAGAACTTTATTTCCCTTTTGCAGCACAGTCCTAACCCAGTTGGAGACACGTGTAAATGCTGATGAATGAATACATTTTTCGAGAAATGCACAATCATCTTTCTTACTATGTAAGAACACCAAGCAAAATTAAAACTATGCAGTCACCATCATGAGAAGCAATATTAGGAGGTAATTATTGACATACTAAGATTATTCAGGCTAATCTGTCACCAGTATAAGAGCCTCCACTGTTGGAGGGAACTCATCAGGGACTCGGTTCTCCAATGGCTTTATTTAAGAAGTTCTCAAGACAGGCCTGCCTAAAAGGAAATGTGTCCATCTGGTGGACACAGTAAATCATTTTGTAGAAGGATAACTTTCTTCTTACCTGAGGACAGTTTCTCACACAATCAGCCACCATCTGTCTGCCTCTCTCTTTTCCTCAGGAAGGCAGAAAGGGTCCTTTGAAAGAACACCTAGGAGAAAAGGAAGGAGACAGGAGCACCTAGGGAGGACAATTCCCACATCCACTGCCCGGAAGTCATTCCATTCTAGCTCGGGATTCCCAAATATCCCTGCACACTCTGGAAATCTAGATTAGAGCTTCCTCTAATGTTTAGTGAAACAATGTGAGGAAAATGTATTAAAATCTCTCACCAGGATTTTGGATGTGCCTATTTCTTCTTCCACTTCTGTCAAGCAATGCTTTGTATATTTGCAACAATATTGAGTAGATACACATCTAATTTTTTTGTATTTTTGGAGCAAGAGAATCTCTCATCATAATGACCTCTGTGTCCAAGTAATGCTTCTTGGCAATGCTGACATTAGGATCAGCTTCTTTTTGGAAACACTGGGTTTTTGCACATCATGGGTACCACCATGTCTGTTCTGGATGCCAATGTCTCCAGTACAAAGAGTAGTATGAGGGAGAGGCTATAGTTCAAGTGGTAGAGCACATGCCTAGCATGCAGGAGGTCCTGGGTTCAATCCCCAGTACCTACTCTAAAAACAAACCTAATTACTTCCCCCAAAAGATTGGCGATCAGCAGACAATGGAGATCCTTCACATCACTCCTCAAGCACACTGAAATTATAGCTAAATACCTGTTCATAACATAATATACATCTCAGCTTTCAGAAATGTATTTAATTACTCTAAGAATGGAAGGGTGGGAGGAACAGTCTTCTTCCGAGCCCTCACACCAGCCCCAGCTTACCTGCACACTTGTCTCCCACGGCCTCCCTGTATGGACACTAAGTGCTCTGGGTCTTGCGCTGGTAGTGGCACCCCAATTCCCTCTCAACATCTGCCCACCAGTCATGGCTCTTCTGCATCCCAGAGGGGTGCTTCCTCCTGGCCACCTAGCAAGCTTCCTGACATCCAGAGGGCTGCCATGGCACCTTCTCCAACAAGGTCTGAAGTCCACTCTTGGGGAGAAGGCCCCCTACATGCTTAGCCTTCCTTAAATACTCTTCATAAACTCTAGAATTTGGAGATGGCAGTCTAGGTCATGGTTTTGTGATAGACTTTTTAAAGGCAATTGAAATGCTGGAGGTGTTTGCAAGTCACTCTGTGTGAGGTAATGCAGGGCCAGCACCATCTCCCTGAAGCAGTCCTAGACATTTGGTCTCTTAGCTACTATGAGACTGAAATAATGGGGATCTATATCAATTTCTGCTACTTCACCCTGATATGTAAACCTTTTCCCTAAATTAATGATAGAGTAAGTTTTAAAAAAGTATTAGAATTTCTCTTTACATCTTTATATTACACTTCTCCTGTTTAAATCAAAGTGTGATTTCTGTCTCCTGATTTCATTCTGACTCAGAGAGACCTGAGAAGGACAGTGAACCCTGGATACAATGTAGTAAATTGAGAATATGTTTGGACAAGCCTTTGGACTTGAACAAAAAGCTGAGTGCCTTGCTAATACAAATGACATTCACAGAATCATAATAGTCAAGATACCTCTATGGTCTATTATGATACAGCTCTTCACTTGGGAGATCACTGAATGCTACTTTAATGGTACAGCAATCATTATGATTATGTTTGTGATTCTTTTGAGTGTAGTTGCCCAGAAAAGAACAAGCTCAGATCTGCTTTCTTGCAGCCCAAGTCAAAGTCATGAACCAGAGAGATCCTATGACAGTTTAAAAACTCATTTCTTGTGGTCACAGGGGGAAGATATTGCTAAAAATCAAATGCAATATTCAATTTTTCAACCATAGTTTAGAAGTCAGTCTCACACTCTTCATGTGAAAATTAGGGTACTGATCAGGAAAAGTTAAATAGGAAACTTGAAATGGAGACTTCTACATGGACCCAGATGAAGCTCAAGACACTCTAAACCTCCCTCATCAGAGAAGTAGAAAGCCCTTTGGTTTCTGAGACTAGCCTTCCGGCTTGACAACTCTGTGATTATCTTACTTGGAACAGTCTTTTTCAGATTCATTTCCATTACAGGCTATTACAAGATATTGAATACAGTTCCCTGTGCTCTACAGTAGGTCCTTGTTGTTGATCTATTTTATATATAGTAGTGTGTATATGTTAATCCCAAACTCCTAATTTATCCCTCACCCAACCCTTCCCCTTTTGATAAACTTTTTCTTATGTCTGTGAGCCTATTTCTGGTTTGCATAATTCTTTTTTTTTTAGACTCCACACATAAGTGGTATCGTATGATGTTTGCCTTTCTCTATCTGACTTATTCCACTTAATATGATGAGGCGTGTTTTTGTAAACAAAGTTTCCCTGGATCATAGATATGCCCATTTGTTTCCTCATGTGTCTGGCTATTCTCCCACTACAAGGGCAAAGCTGACTAATTGCGCACTTTTATAACCTACAAAGCATCAAGTAATTACTATCTGGACCCTTTCAGATAAAACGTTTCCCAACCTCTGCTCTGAACCCAATTACCAACTGACAGGAAATATAAGACAGGAAAGAAAACTTAAATGTGCTCTGAAAATAAAAGAAGAAATATCAAACTGTGTGACTTTCTAAAAGAACGCCTGGGACTCTTCAAAGAGTCAGTATAATGAATATAATAGACAAACAATAGCAAGTGATCTAGGTTTAAAAAAAGGGCAAAAGGCATAAGCAATTGCCATATATAGACCTGATTGTTTGAAACCAACCAAAAACATGTTTTGGGACAATGTGGAGAAGTTAGCGCTTTAGAGCAGATACAAGAAAACATTATGATTTTTACTTTTCATACGTCAAATAATGGTATTGTGATTTTGGTAGGATAACGCCCTTATCTTTAGGAGAATCGTTACGAAGTACTTAAAAGTAAAGTATCATATATGCAATTTATTTTCAACTTACTCACAAAAAAGCTCACCATAAAATGTATTTTTAAGTCTACAGGGAGAACAAACATGTAAAATTCCAATAATAAGTGAATCTACTACAACGAACACTCATACTGGATAGTCACATTTTCTTGAGGTTTAAGATTTTACCAAAAAAAAAAAAAAGTGGGGGAAAATACACCTAGTCCAAACACCCTGTTTATGGTACCTCATTCTAGAACTAGTGTCATAAAGCCTCCACTACATCTCCTGGAGGCCCGTTTTGACTCTGGAAAGTTCAGATGATGAGATAGCGAAGTACTCTTGGCGTTTTTTTCAGAAGAAAGATCTCTGATCTACGTTACGTTTATACTTATATATAGAAATATGGATACCCTTGACACCTGAGAAAGTATCTTATCTTTCTACCTCTATGTAATACTCAAAAACAAAAAGGCACAAAGACAAAACCAAATTCTCAGATGAAACCTTTTTTTTTCATATGAAAAGAGGACCTTTAAAGCAACTTTC